GAAGAAAATAGTCCCTCCCTTACCCATCCCCAAGCTCTCTCCTCCCCCTGTCCCTTTTGCAACCCATTTCCCCCTACCCTATCCTGGGCTGCTAAGCTTTTGCTGCTGGCTTTCCCCAGCCTGCAGCATTTTGTTGCCTTAAACCTGCCCCCTTTGCCAATCTGAGGATGTGGGGGTAAGGGGGGGCACCATGATCTGGGCATGGAAATGGTGGCCTATACCATGACTGGGCCATGATATTAGTGAGATGGGCCTGTGATTTAAATCAGGCCCTACCCATAAGCCTGGAAGCAACATACAAACATGATTCATAAAATAAACCCAGAGATTTCAAAGAGGAATCCATAGTCTCAAAAACACTCCAACCTGTTAGGTCTTGCTGGGTTCTTTGCAACAGAAGAATCATTCTATCATTTTTCTGTAGTTAAAAAAAATAAGCGAAAATGAAGAGCTGATGTTTTCTGAGAGGTGTCTTGAACCTAACGAGGAGTGTCTTGACTCTAAAAAGTCTGAGAACCACTGGTATAGAGCCTTAATACCTGTTCTAAATTGGTTGGAGAAGAGGAAGGCCATCTTTTTTCTCTGTTACAGTGGCATAAAACATAGTCACTATAACTGAGAATTGAGTCCATGTTATTCCTTGACATGTTACTTGCAATAGAAAGAGGTGAGGTATTTTGATACTATCAGGAAAGGAGCTAGGACTCCAATCTCAGATAGGGTATCAAATATGCTAACATAATAAAATCAAGATGAAAATGAGGAGAGGTTGAATTTGGTCCTTAAGGTGATGGATTAAAATGCAGTCTGACAGCCGAGCAGGATTGGTGTGGCTCTCCTCCATGACTGTGCTACTTATGTTGATTCTTATTTGACTCACCTGTGCTTGCATTTTGTCTTGCTCTGCTGCCCTATTGCCATTCTCTGTCTGCTGTACCACAGATCCCCTTTGAGGCATTTGCTTAGATGAATGTGGGCCAGGTCCATCCACAGAGGAGGCTGGATTACAATAGGCAGGTTGTGGTGAACTATTTGGTTCTGTAGAGGTACTGCACATCAGTAAAGAAAGCAAAAATATAGAAAGGATGAGATAAAACACCTAAGAGGTAAATTTCAAGTTTTCCCCTCCTGGGACCTAAAAACATCAGAAATAAAACGAACAAGTTGTTAATAGATTAATGACTAAGTGATGTGCCTGAATAAAAATTACAGTTTAGCTAAAAGTACTGGTAGTTGTCACCACATTTGTATCGCAGAATGGATCCTTTGCAGCAGATGCCATTTTGTTAATTAAATGGAGGCCATGAAGTATCCAGAACAAGCTTTTATTTATCTCCGATTCATCACCAAAATAGCTCTTTCTTTTTTAATTTCCCTTGGTTTCTTACCCATTAGCAGTGACATTGCAACTGAATTAGCCAATTTAACTAAGAAAAGTCCTTCCAGACCTGAAATCCTGCTGCCCCCTCTGAAGAAGGCAGAGCAAAAGTGGGATCTTCTCAATGAAAGCTGGATTTGGCAACCCAACATTTTCTTTTCTCACTGATCACCCCTGCCTGCCCAAGTGTGATGGAAACAAAAACCTGCCAAGTTATTGAATGGCATTCTTGACTCAGAGGAAGATTAAGTAAAGGTCCTGAAAAGAAGGAATCTTTCTTCTCTTTTTTTTGTTCTCCCTAAATAAAAGACTTGCTGTTTATTTTATATTTAGTCATGTTTCACTCTAAGGTGCAAATATTTAATTGATAATATCAGTGAACCAATAACTTATTACCACTGCACATAGTCCATCAGATTCCTTATACTGTAGCTGTGGTATTGATTTAGTCTTCCTATATTTAAAATGTCAGTTTGTAATGGTAATCATGCTCCCTAGTGGTGCAGGAGAATAAAGTTTAGTAAATATATTTTCTGCTGCGTTGCCATTAGAACGACATTCAGCCCTACCCATAAGGTGAATGTTTCACTTAAGCCCTATTTGAAGGATAAAAGAATGGGATGGAAAGAAGCACACTGGCAAAGTAATAATCTGTAATAATGCTGACTGTCCGTCTTGCATAATCATTTTCTTCAGTTTACTGATTTAAATTTCAGCCGAAGGCAAAGTGCAGGAAAGCTTCAAATGAAGAACAAATAACTCATTACAAACCTATGTGATAGGAATATGCTATTGCAGTGGACCTTCAGGGAGCTCTTTCTCATATGCAAATAACTTCAGGGGTCATAGATTATCCAGTAGTGGAGAGAACAGAGATATAAGTCAGTTACCTAGGATGAAAGGGATCTAACTTGCTGTTGAGAAGCTCCAAGAACTGGTGAACTACAACACTGTGATCCACTTCACAAAGAAGGGAATAAGAGAACCTACCCAACCAACTGCACATTTTTACAATTTACATGCGTTATGGTAGAACCTAGCGAACACACCTGAAACCAAGGCCTCATTATGTCCATTGAAAATCTGGTCCTTGACCAAAGAGTTTACATTTGAAATTGGCAAGGTAGATGAAGTATTATTATGCCCAATTTACAAATGGGAAACTGAGGTTCAGAAAAGTTAAGTGATTTGTCCGATATCTGACAGTAGATCAATGGCAGAGTTGGGCATGGATCCTGGTCCAGTGTCTTAAACCAGGAAACTGTCCTGGAAGCAAACAGAAAATGGGACAAAACATAACATGGTTTTATCTAGTGAAGTTCATATCAAACAAATCTAGTATCCTTCTATGACAGGAAAACTAACTTTTTAGACAAAGGAAAGACAGTAGGCTTAGTCTGTCTAGACTTAAAACTTTTGACATAATGCCTCCTAGGACATTATTAGCTAAATTGGTGAGAATGAGGATCAGTGCTGTAATTGTAAAGTGGATAAGCATCTGGCTGAAAGGGAGACTGCAGTGGGCTATGTTGAAAAGAGGGTGATTACTAGTGATAGTCTTGTAAATGGTTTTGGGACACATTTTGTTGAGGGGTCTTGGTGCAGGAATTACATCAGAGCCCATGAAATCTACAGATGACATAAAATGGGAGAGAGGAAGTTGCCAGTGTTGAAGAAGACAGGATTATTGTATAGGAAGATTTAGATAAACAACACCATTTCTATTACTGCACTGTGCAAAATACAGTATGAAGTGCGAAACTGTGCACTTGGGGCCTAATGGCAAAAACTTTTATTATAAGATGGGGGTTCATTGGCTGGAGGCAACAGAACAAGAGAGTATGGGTGTATTGTGTATTGGTCAATCACAATTGTTAACTGTAAATTACCAGCACATGGCTATGAAAAAGCCTAATGCAAGTCTAATGTGGATTAGTTGGGTATATTAAGTAGAAACAAGGAAATTGTTGTACAACACTTTGGTGAGACCTCCTGTACTACTGTGTACAGATCTGGTTAGTAATACTCAGAAACAATTAATTTTGAACTGAAACAGGCCCAAAGAAGGGCCACTAAAATTAAAAAGTGAACGAGGAACCTATGTTTTAAGAAGAGATTAAAAGAGCTTGACTTTATTAGTTTAACAAAATTAAGGTAGAAACAGGACATGATCACAAAAGTGTGTGTGCACACACACACGTGTGTACACACATAGGGAAAATCAGGGAAATACCATATTTAATTTTAAGGTAAAGAACAATATTGGCACAGAATCAAATGCCAACAAACTCATTATGAACAAATTTAGATGGAAAATGAGGAGTGACTTTTTAGAATAGTTTTCCAAGCAAAGTAGAATGGATTAAGAACTTGAATTGCTTCAAGATGGAGCTTCACAAGTTTATGGAGAGTATAATAAGACAGGGAGCTATATAGATTTGAAGATGTGATATGTAGATTCTAATATTTGCAATCCCCCAACAAAAAGTCCTTTTTTAAATACATAGGGAGAATGAAGAAGGCCCCAGGTAATGTGGGGCCCCTGCAGGATATGTTTGGCAATCTGGTGGTCGCACCAGAGGAGAAAGCAGACTTCTTTAACAATTTCTTTGCCTCTGTTTTCTTGCACAGGGACCGGGGCTCCCGTACCAAGATTCAGGACGGACTTGAAAGAAACTCCTCCAAGCCTAGGGTCAGAGAGGATCGGGTTAGAGAACTTCTGGAGGGGCTGGACATGTTCAAATCA